GGCAGCGATCGCCCTTCTCGGAACCTTACATATCCGGACGTCCGCCAGGAAAAAGCTAGAGGCTTCGTCGGCAACAGGGGACATCCAGGAACAGTCTCGCGCATTCGCTACGCAGCACAAAGCCCCGCGCCACTTCGTGGCACGAGGGAATCAAATGGGTCGGCATCCTAGAGCTATAGTGGCATAGATAAAGTAAACGCCGACAAAGATCATGATGGGCAACCTCTTGAGGTCCTTCAGGGCATTCTGCTTTGTCCCCTAGAAATCCTCAGCTGCAGAATATCCGCCGCCCCCCTAAAGGGGGGGGGGACTGGTTGGCTCTGCAGATCCCCGCCAAAAATCCCGCCGCTTCGTCCGGATAGCAACGGCGCTCACCATGGGACCTCGAGATCCCCATGCGGCGTGGAGCGGGCCCTCTGGATACCTTCTGCGGGGTCAAAGCCTGGCGCGCGCACTGGCAACGCCTCTGCGCACTTCGCGAATTTGGGGAGCCGTGCCATCCCGCAGAAAATCCCATCGGGCGCGGATGCAGACCCAATGATTGTGGTCGTCATGTCAGACGCCTTGCGCGCGTCACCGACCCCGAAGACAAGAGGTTAAGCAAGCTTGTCTGCCCGTTCCACAGATACTGTCAGAGGTTCCCCCTAAAATCCAGCAAGGAACGCCGGGACCATGGAATAAAACCCGAACGGTACCACAAAGCGAAGCAATGGGGAGAACATGTTGCAGCTTCTTGGGCCCGTAAAACTTGGCCAACAAATCCGCGCGGTGCCCGCCCCAGGGCGGTGCCAAATCCTCCGCGCGGTGACTCGAGATCCTCGGAGTAGGCGTCTCAGCCAGAATGTCGCCGCCCAACGCTGTATCCCCCAAACCGACGCTTCATCCCGAGAACAGGTTTCCTGTTGTTCAATCTCCGCAACTGCGCATGGCGCAACCGATCCCCATCCCCAGCAGCGCGGCCCCGGCCCCGCTGGCCGATTTACCCCCCTAAATCGGGACATAGCCCGCTCCCTTCGGGTTTCGAGGGGTGCATCCCCAACTGGGGTGGTAATTTGGTGGGGGTCTCTAAAGGGCGCGGGGATAGGGCTGGGGATCACTCAAACGATACCAAACAACAGCGCCAAGGTGGGCATCGGCACGAAGCGCGTCTTCCGAGGTTGCCCGAGCCCACTCCTGGCGCGCCCGGTCCGGCGGCGGCGCTGCCCAGGGCCGGCGAAGAGCTGCGCTCACGACTGGTGCACCATCCGTTTCTCCCCCTCCATGGCGGTGGACAAACCTCCCTTTAGTAAACCACCCTTTAATGAATGCGGCCTGGAACCGAAACCGACGGCCGCGACGCCCCCTCGCGAACCGAAAACGGCCAATTCGCGAATCGACGTGTCAGTGTAGGAGGTCGGTCGACCTCCGACCTCCATGGCCGTCACCTGTCCCATGTGCCCCCTAGCTATGTGATGGATCCCTGTTCGTCCAGCAAGGCAGTGAGCTTCAAGTCCCGTTGCGCCCTCCCAGTGGCGCGTCGCCCCGCGAGCGCCTGTCCCATCTGGGGGCGCAAGATGGCGCCGGGCCCCTCGTCGCGCGCATCACGGAGCTCGCGGGCCTAAAGGACATGGGGGGGCCCAGAGAACTCAGGGGTCTCAAATGTTTTCGGAAGGGCCCCGCTCCTGGCAGCCATCGTCGTCGCAGCCTGAGCGGAGACGGACGAAGCTGGCAGATTGTCCCCGCCGCCGCCTCCGCGCGCAAACACCGCGGCCTCATCCGGCCACGCGCCCCAGCCGGGGCCCGCTCGGCGCGCCGCGGAATATTTGCGGAGGCGAAACAAGACGAGGGCACCGAACTAAACGAAGCACAGCCCAGCCGCGCATCGCGGCAGCGGTCGGCAGACACAGCGCGAAACACACGGGCTTCTTCGACGGGCGCATCGCCAGCGCAGAGGCGGGGTTAGGAGGGGTAGAGAAAGTCCATT